GACATGATACCAATAAGTACATTTACTGAACTTGGGCGTTTTAATATCATATTAAAAGTCTACAAATAATGAAGAACCATCTTCTGTCATAGAGGCTAGTTTTTTATTCTTAATGTTTCCATTATTCATCTAAAATATCAAACAAATATCACAGTATACTATGGTGTCCAAAATGTCATAGTATAATGTCATAAAAACTTTAAAAATGTCAAAGGCCTAAAAACATCACACAAAGTTAAATTATTTGAGCCTCAGAGTCAAACAGCCACTTTCAAAAACAACCTCAGTGAAAAATTCCCCTGAGATGAGGCAGCAGACTCTTCGTCCCCCCATCAGGCCCATCGTTCTGTGAAACATTGGTCAGAGACAGGCAGCTTGTCATCACTGGGAGGGATGACCAGCTACGACCTTTCAGCTCTACGCTGTAAAAAATAGACATTCTTTAATGGTAACCTTTTTCGAGTGATAGTGGGGTTGGACAGTGTTAAGTAAATCTAAGATTTAAAAAATCAACCACCTATTAGGAAAAAAGACTTCCATTTGAATTCATCATCAATGTAAAATGAAAGAAACTTTCATCAAAATACATTTTTTGTTCACTTTTCACTCCTCCGCGTTGGGGAAAGCCAGTGGACAGAGACATTATGTTCAAGATCAACTGATTAGAATCCAGTGGTCAAAGTTCACCGCGGCCTCATGATTCTGAAAGAAATGTATATGTCGACTAAAATTACAGTGGTTGGGGAAGGCCTACAGCTGCGAAGCAATAACTGGGGTTTTGTTGTTTCCATCAGACTGGAGTCCCAGATGACTGCAGACATCCAGGCCATCCTGCAGCTCCTCCAGAGGCAAACCACGGCTGGGCCGCCAGCCTACAGCACCGTCACCTCCAGCCCTGAGTACCAGAGACCAGCTGTCAGGGTCCAGCCGTTGTGTGCCATCCAGACAGACCTGAGCCTCGGCCCTGCTCCGCCTCCGCCACAGGTACCAGACCTATGGTACCAGACGAGAGGGATGCAGAAAACTTTATACAACACGATACACAACATCTGTCTTTTTTTATCATTTAATATCAAATATGTTTAGCTCATTTTAATTCTGTTGTGTGAAGGAATACTGTAAATATTGTCAATGTAGATACAGAGACAGTGTTCAGACTTAATTCTTCATGCTGCACGTCTGTAATCAGAAAGACATCTCACACAAATGGCACTCTGCTAAACACACTGTTTGCTTAGTAGCTGTGTGTCTGTTTCCTTTGACGTACACGTCTGAAGTGTCTTTGCCCACTGTCTCCCACAGAGCCCCGGCCCAGAGGTAACCCAGAACAAATCCAAAGAAACCCCCCCGGTCCTCCTGCACACAGAGACTCTTCCAGATGGGAACTTTGGTGGGCTGCTCGACAGCGACACAGACTCGGAGCAGAAACACACGAAAAATGACGTGTGCTCTTTAGAGCAACACCACCAAAACCATCAAGCGCCACCGCGGTTCCTGACAGGCCGACAAGCCTCTCTACCCAATGTCCCCAGCAGCTCAGGAATGTTGGGACTCCACAGGCCAGTTTCTGACCCGGGGCTTCCAGGAAAGTAGGCCTCGGCCCCCGACCTCTCGACAGTGACGGAAGGTCTTCTCTCAAGCTCGACTCAGGGTCTAAGAAAGAGACTGAATATGCAAAGGAAAACAAACTGTAGACTTTCTTCCATTCCTTTTCGGAAACACTCCCAGGCCTAACGCTCCTTCCTATTCTCTGATTTAGATGTATAAAGTCCATTTATACAGAGGTATTTATACAATATATTATTAACATTATGTAAAGTCATCATCTGCTGTGTACATACTTCAAATAGAACACTGCCAGCAACACAAGGCACCTAATGTGCTTTTTATATGCATGTTTCAGTTCCTCATGTTTTCTTTTCTTTTCTGTTGCATGTTCCTCACACGCTGCGACCCACCGGGCGATCAGGTGTGTCCCTGGCATGCTCTCACACCACTGTAGCTCTCAAGTCTCATTTTCTACGACTCTTCCCTCTTCACGGGGGACAAAATCTACTTGAAACTCCGCCTGAGGCGATTCTATACTCCAGCTCCAAGGTTCATCTTATTTTTTCAGCAGCTCCAAGCGATTGATGCTGTTACAAACTCACAAAGAGATCCGTGTGCATATCTAGCGTGCCTACCGTACACCACATTGCCACAACACATGAAAACCACTCCTTTGCTTTCAGCTGACAACTCACGAACACAATGTAATAATAATATAAATGTGCATAGAGGCTGCGTGGACAGGGCACAGCACAACAAGACTTTTGTCTCCCCTTTGAGAGCAATAATGAAAAACCAGTGCAGGAAAACACACTGAACTCGGGTGTGTTTCTCGAGTTAAATACACTTTCAAACTCGTTTTTCTAAGACCTGATCCAAGAAAAACAGCAGCTCTTTGTGTCAGATTTAATTTATATCAAATATCCAACTACGTGTGTGTGTGTGAATTTGACGAGTGGAGGTTCACTGTAAATGTTCAAGACACAGTGGAGGTACCACAGAGCTGTCTGTGTCATATCAATGTAAGCATGTTGCAGTAAATCTTGTTATGGGCACTAATGTCAAGGCAGTTTGGAGATCGAAATGAGGAGAACAATTTTTTCCTTCATCTTCTGAATTTTAGGAACTGATCTGAACTTAGAATTTGGTTATTTTGTTTCCTTTATCACCTCATGTTAAAATGAATAAAACGTTAAAATAAAATGCACTTCAACATAAAAAAAAACACTTACAGATAAAATACAAGCACCTGTAGAGTAATAATCATAGCAACACACTCATCAACCACACTCCTACACTCCTGACATTTTACAAGTTTCTCTGCCACCAATATTTCTAATAAACAGCACTTTATATATAAAAGAAAACAAAATTAAGTTGAACAAATAATTTTCATCTCCAACCTACCTCGACCTGAACGTCATATGTATGTAAAATATTTTAACTGCTGGAAGGAATTTTTTTGGGTTGCATGCTTTAGGTCTTCCATTATCTTTAAAATGTACAATTTCCTAAAAAAAGCATCATCAGCACAGAGCATCATCTGAATGAACACACAAGTTCAGCCTTCAATAGCCTTAGCTTTATTAGCCTTTAATGACATCAACCCAACACAGTAGAAACATGCTCCTCCACCTTCACAGATGTAAATGTATCTAACCATGAACTGCATGAGTTAAACGATTTAGTCATTTTAGTTTTTTTAAACAACTTCCAACAAGCGCTCATGTATTGCATGGAGACTGCACTTAACTACGTTTTCAAAGGGTCTCAAGCAGCTGTGTGTTCATGTGTCGGGTGCAGCCCATAACTGCGCACACACAGATTTCCAGATAGTTTAAGACCTATTTTTCTAAAAACAAAGTCTTTAATTTGCCATTATTTTTCTATGTGACTGATTTGCTCTTTAAAAAAACCCTGATGTAAGTTCAAGTGCCGATGGTAAGACGATGAATGCAATGCACAGCCTCTCGATGTAGCAAGCCAGACTTAAGCAACGGGCAGCACATAAAGCTAGGCGTCACATCAAGTGCACGCTGTTCTGAGTAGTTTGTCTTGACGACTGATGTGGCACATTGATTTTCGTATCATTTCTGCATTGACTTCTCCCTCTGAGTTTATTCAGCATTTTGAAACATGTAGGAGCAAAGGAAGGGTCTGTCAGATGGGTGAGAAACAATGAAATGTTATGAGACGCTTGTGGAGAGAGCTGAGAGAAAGCTTTACTTTCACAGGACAATACAAAGTCTCCAGCAGAACGCGGGGTCCTCTCTTTTGCTTTTTCTGGACCACACATGCAGAACAAAAGTTGCTAAAGCCTAAGTCAACATGTCCGGGACCTGAAGACTCTTCTTCTGAACTTTCATGGGATTTGCAAACGTTTGCACAGAGATTAGAAAAAAATTGTAAATGCTCTACTGGGTATGAAGGTCACTTTTTAAATCTAGTGCTGTTCACAATTGTTTTTATGCATTTTTTAAATGTTTGCCACTGTATTTTATACAATGCAACACTTAACAGCTAATTTGAATGTTTTTGTTCTGAACTATATTATGGAAATTAATTATATTGTGTAAATATACTGAGGGGATAAATACGCAGTTGTATACATTAATAAACAGAATGCATACTGATTTAAAAGGTTTTATTATGAGTAACAAAATATGATATTTCCTACAACACGGTGTGTGAGGAGATTTGACTTAAAAAAACAGGCTGTGGTTATGAAACATGGGAACAAAAAGTAAGTATATGAACATACAGCAGTGTAGCTATATGTCAACAGGTTCTTTCTTTCCATCTTTATTTAAGAGCTTGGTCTTTCAGCATCTGCATTCGGGTTTCTCCTTTGCTCTTGGGATCTTTTTCCTCTGCTCTTGGATTTTTTTGGATTTAATTTGTTAACTCCACACCGTTCTATTGGTTGGGGAATTTTGAGAGACTTGTTGAAAATTCAATGGCAGACGTTTCAGCATGTGGAGAAGCCGTAGAGCTGGAGTGCAGGAAATCTGCCAAAGCAACAAAATATCTGAGCGCAAGTGCAGGGTTTGAAAACATTACAAAGTCTGCACATGAAATCAATAGTGTGCAGCTCTTAAACTGAAAGACGGCTCTTGAATAAAGATTGTAAAAACACCATAAATGACAACATGTTAATATCAGTGTGGATCAGCTCACAGTCACTTTGGCTTATTATCAAGTTAAACAGCAAGGTCAATATGCATCTACTAATAGTTAATGTTGGGCTCAATACAAGTGTTAGAAAACAGAAGTGCACCATATTTCTTTCTTATACAATGCCTTCATCACAGATACTGCACAGGACAAACGAACTAAGAGTTCATATCTGTGTGAATGTCTACCTCCTGTTCATCTGTTAATGCTGCTAACACCTACTCATTAACCATGATGCTGCGTTTGCTATGTAGTTTTAATATATTTAACCATACATTCAGAGAGTATAATGGCACAATAGGTGTCCCACATCATCCTTTTAGTATCAAGACACAGAACTTTATTATAGAAATCTATTATATTCCCTCTAATGTGGATACATACTCTGTATATATATATGTGTGGCTGTGTGTACATCTCATACACCCTCAACTCTCCCCCGTGTGACATACAAGACTAAAGCATTATGTTAAGCATTACAAGCAATGTGTACTTTCATGTTGCAGCTCATGGCCTCTCAGTCTAATTTACTGGCCTCCCTTTGCATTCCTGTGAGGCACTGCTCCAGAATCAGCCGCAGATCGGTCCGTGAGACGCCCTTACCTCGTGGTCCCGGGACGGACAGCAGCACTTAGACAGCCATTGTGCACTGGATGAACTGTTGACAGGGGCAGAGAGAGGGGAGAGAGGAGACAAAGAGAAGGGATGTCAAACAACAGAGGGAGTTTGTGAATCACGTGCCGGCTAACAATCCAAACATCTGCAATATATCCCTGTAACTTTCATACAGTCCCTTAAGACACTTTGAGGCTAATAAATGTTGAAGAAGTCGCCTCAAGCTGTAAAACATATGAAGGAGGGAGAGATCTAGAAAGAAACTAGGACTCACATCATCATACTGGAAGGCGACAGTTCCCTGCTGCATGGTATCTCTCCGCCTGAAGTGGTCTGCAACAGGAAGAGTAAACGGTCACAACACTGAGGGCTCACAATGATTTCAGCAAACCTGATTTCACAACAGCTTGTGACACAGATCTGTGCACTGAGCTGAGCAGAATGTCACAGCGCATGAGGGAAAAAACAGGTGGAGTGAAAAGCTAAATGTGAAATCGTACATCTGCACGAGAGGCTGTTCACTGAGCACATCAGGTCATTTCTACGCAACACAGATCCTGGTTCTTGTGTGTGGTACCTGAGAGAGCACGCAGTTTCACACAGCAGGCCACGTAGTCATCGAAGAAGATTCTGCCACCTTTGCTGTAGCGCTTGATGATAACAGTGAGAGATTGAGGACTGATGTGGTAGCCTGAAAGAGTTGGGAATTATCTCATTATCATATATGTAGATCGTTTCCTGTTTAAGGGTTCTTTCACATCTACCTAAATTGGTCCAGACCGTCAGACTTTTCTGTTTGGTCTGAACCACATCTCCAACATAATTCTATTCTAATATGGATCTGATATGGATTTCACATCCTGTTAGAAGAAGCAGCATGTGTGAGAGTTTAATGTTGTCGTCTGCTGAGCTGTAAATGATGAGGAAGTGACAGTGTCAACGGTTTGTAGCTAATTGTTCCGCTGTGATCACAAGCATAATGAGATGGATCACACCAGTCAGCACAGAATAAAGTCTCACTGACTTCTATTAGGCGTAATTAAATGTAATTAATGATTCTGCTTTCCATCGTCTGTGCAATCAGGGGGAGCCACTAATTATCCATCATGTTAAACTGTTACAGACTCTCACCCATAGCATTGACGGCCCGAGACATCTCGTTAGGATCGATATTTCCACTCCTGTCCTGGTCGACCATCATGAAGTTCTGCTTCCAGCCGTTCAGAGCCACGAACAGATCCTTGAACTCATTGAAACCCATCTTGCCCGTGTAGTCCCTCTGGTGACAGTCGAGTTAAGGTTATCATAGCTGGATACTGACTGCAGGGTGTACAAATGCTAAAGAGAGCAGCTGGTTAAACCTGATCTGAGGCAGAGCCACACCTGCCGTTCACATATTTCAATACCGAGTATGAATGATAAGGTTAAAGTAGAAGGTAGTGTCGGGTACAGTGTGTCCACTAACCGTCAATCTGAGCTTTAGTTACAGTCACAGTGTCATTTAGAGACTGACACAGAATATTAACGTCACGATAAACAAAGGATACATCGAGCATCGCGATCATGATCCTGCAAGTATCCAGGCTGAAAGCTGCAAACAATAAAAACATCTTAAGAATTAGTTTAGAAGGATTGTAAGATACATTAATATCACAGCTCGAAATGTTTATGGTACAGTGGAATTCAAAACATTTAACTGCTTCTCTCTACAGTCATAGAGTCTGTAATTCTTCTGCAACTGGCTGCAACCTACTAATAAGGTCAATTTACAAAGCTAATATTTGTGAATAACTCTCAGAATCAGTAAAACCTGCTCATGGTTAATTGGCTGCTGCAGGTTATGTGCTTGTTGCAGGATTGAACATTTAAAAGCGAGTTAATCAACTCAACGGCAAAGTGAAACGATCCAGTAATCCTCGTTTGCTCGTGTTGTACTGAGAGTAATGTAAGAAAGTGTAGAATAAAACAAATGTCTCTGGTTCTGCTGCATCAATATTGATTATTTTATGTTAAATATTCTTAAACTGTTCAATGTCATATGCATCAATTTCACTGCAAAGGAAATCTGTTCAGCAAATGATGGCTTTGTTTGTTCATCAGATAAGTTAATCAGTATGTTTACAACAATAATCAACAAATCTTATTGTAACAAAAATTAAGAATGAATTGAAACCAGAGTATTGGAGCATTGCTTAACACAAAAATAGATTCCTGAATGAAGTCATGACGCTGTTAATACACAACACATGGGTTCTCTCAGTTCCTCAGTCGTGTGTTCCCCTGTTTGTGTGTCACAGCTTGTGTCAAAGGGAGAGTAGTGAACCTACGTGTGTAGCTGCCAGTGAAGCCAGACTGAGTCAGACACCTCTGGAGTTCCTCTGCATCAACCTCACCGTCCTGTACCGAGCAGAAATGATATTCAGTCATGTCATGTGCAACCATCAGTGTAACAATCAAAGACGGGCCTGCAGCTGAAGTGGGAAGTGAGATAAAGACAGAAATCATGCTAACATGTCAACAATTAAAACTGAAGGATTGAAGCAGAATAAAACCGAGTTGGTAAAAAGGCCCAACATCTCTCCAACAGTTAAGTTCATGTAGTGTTTTATGAAGCCTGAAACAGCTTCTTGTTCTTGTCAGAACTTGAAATGTGGAAGTGAAGGCAGGTCTGTCGTGGAAAAGGTGCTGCAACACGTCAAAGAAATTATGTTGCAGATCACAGACACACACTTACCTGGCCTGCTATGGCTGTGAAGTAGCCCCACATTGGATCATTGGCAGCCAGTTGTGGGGCACCATATTGGCCTTGATAGCCTCCTCCATAGGGGGAGTATCCTCCTTGGGGTGGTGCGCCTCCCATGGGCCCACCCATTTGCCCAGGCATGGGACCTCCCATATGCCCTCCCGGCATTCCCTGCGGCGGCATCCCCTGCGCAGGCATGCCCGGCATCGGACCCCCATACTATGGCAGAAAACAGGAGAGACAGGTTGGTATTTATGGAGCTGCTAAGAGAACGTGTATCAAGTGTTGCCTTTATAAAGAAACCAGGATTATGTGCCGTAACAGGGAAATGAAGTTCCCCCGTCCGTGTTTGTATTTAAAATGAAACTGAAGACCCAAGTGTTCTCTCAGGTTTTTATCCATCCTGCTTAGTTTTTCATCTTAGTGTATTTTAAAGTTGTGTTATATCGTTGGGAAACATCATCTATATGTTCTCATCTTGCGTGTTTACTAATGTACTAACAAGTAGAATACATCATGAATAATCATGACAAGGTGCCGTCCTGCCCACATGAAACCTCTGACTGTCTCATTATGGGGGAGGGACACATACTTTGAGTCACTGCTGGAAAAATCTCACAATGACCTTTAGCTTCTTTAGACAAAGTCTGAACCTTATTTTCTGTTAAAATGTTTCTGGCTCATGAGTCACATAGGTCAAGACAATAAAACTATATCAATAATTATCCTGACAGTCTCATAATGAGCAATATAACAAAGGTTAAATATGAAGCAGTGTAATGCTTACGTAATGTGTAAGTAGTACACAGGAGACATAACACACAAGGGATCTAGGTCACATTTGTAAAATGTTTTGCTGTTAGTCAAGTTTCAAGAGTTTTAAACCTGAAATCAGGAGCAAAGATCGGTCTTTGAAAGAAGAAACTAATGTTTGTCCATATTGTCTCACAGATGAGGACAGTGACTGCTGGTGAGTGATGGGATGTGAGAGTGTGTATGAGTGTGTGTGTCTGGAATGAACAGTGGCAGTGTATTTCCAGGGTCAGTGCAGTAACCTGAACTACACAATGACATTATTTTGCACATTAAACCAAAGTACTTATACTATACTAATCACAAACTACCTCAACTTTATCTTATTTCTATAATTCCTACATTGATTGCGTTGGTGTTCAGATATTATGAACTCATTTTTCACATCCTATGTTTTGGAAATCACATTGAATTGCCTGTGAATTGAATAAATAAAGTTGATGTGAGCTCTTTTCTACCAACAGGCTGAAGGTGAACTCCTGAATGTTGATACCGGAAGACAAGTTATCTTCTCTAAAAACTCAGATGAATGTTTCTGTGTGACACGAGGTTGTGTTTAGATCTTGGTGGGATTGTTGAGAGAAGTACGTGAAAACAGAAACAGACTCAGACATCAGTAAAAGCGGATCATTTCCTTGTCACAAGAAAAGAAGTGGAAGCTGCATCAGAATTATCGGAATCTGACCGGAACACATGGGAGCTAGCTTCTCCGCTAGCTGCTGTAGCTCGTTTTACTCCGGACAAATGGCGGCTGACACATAATAGACTCACCCCGCCGTATCCTGGATAAGCCATGAGACGAAGAGCAGCGATCAAGAGGAGGAAAAGTTCAGAGAGTCTGAAGAGTCACTGACGCAAACCGATGATCGCCGTGTTAGCACGTCTGTCCTCTTCCTGGTTGTCTGTCCAGAAACGTCATTTCCGAGTTTCGAGGTCTTTAGAGTCTTTTGCAATCACCGTAATTTACTTTTTACCAATTATATATCTAACCCGCTACAGACATTTTTATTATATTTCTCTTTTTGTTCTCGTGTCCATCTCATGTGTAGTTTTGTTTCATGAAGCTTTAGATTCAGTAACATTTAAAATTTGAGAAATATGTCAGTCCTGCGTTTCTTAATTTTCACCACCAGATGGTGCTCTAGAGTCTTTGTGGTGTGAAGCAGCACAATGCGGAGGTGACGCCATGTGTCCTCCCGCTGAGTCCAACAGGTGAGGACGTCTGTCTGTCCCACAGTCTATGGTCTGTCCCCTGCTTCAGTGGACACGTTCTGGTGTTGACTCCCTGAAACACAGAGAATGTTCCAGGCGCCTGATTCTCCGCCTGCTCGACAGTCCAGGGGTCAGTGTGGGTCGTTAGGTGTCGACTCGTGTCATGGACAGTTTTCGAGTTGAGCCGCCATTTGTCGACTTCAGGGACGTGAGCGTCGGGTTTACAGGACCACACTGACGGAGCCACGAGGGTACGTGTCTGCACCTGACGGGCTTTTAACAACTTTACTCAATTAACGAATTCAACTCTTTTGTAAAACGACGCAACGTTAGATACATTTTAAATTAGCTTCATTGCTAGTTAGCCAAAAGCGTGGTTCACGGTAAGCTAGCAACCTTAGTCGTTTAGTATCTATCTATTTATCTCTTTATCTCTATCTATCTTTATATCCATAGCTGTATATCTATCTATCTATTTATCTATCTATCTATCTCTTTATCTCTATCTATATATATATCCATAGCTGTATATCTGTCTATTTATCTATCTATCGTTCCATCTTTCCATCCATCCATTTTTTTGCTAAGGAAAACAGAGGATGTGTAAATATCAACGTGTGAAAGTTGAACTACGCACAGACAGACCAATGCAAATTGATGAGAAGGCTCTGTAAGTGACACTAGTTCAACAAAACACTGTAAACTGTAAAGTACATAAACTGAAAAGACACAAAAAGACCATGTCACCATTGAAGATTTTTT